AGCCCTTCCAACACACCCGCATGCACGATGGTGGGGGCACCGGAGCATCGTAAACATGCTCTTACTACAGTACATATCATGTCAGTTCGGGGCGCCTGGGTGGCTCAGTCAGTCAAGCGTCTGCCTTGGGCTCAGGTCATGATCCCAGGGTCCTGGGATCGAGTCCCGCATCGGGCTCCCTGCTCGGCAGGAAGTCTGCTGCTCCCTCTCCTGCTGCTGCTCCCCCTACCCTACTTGTGCTCTCTCTCCCTTTCTCTTGCTCTGTCAAATAAAATCTTTAATAAATACCAACTGACTGGATGGTGCAGTCAGTTGAGCATCCAACTCTTGGTTTCAGCTCAGGTCATGATCTTAGGGTCCTGGGATTGAGCCCCAAACTGGGCTATGCACTCATTGGGGAGTCTGCTTGAGATGCTCCCTCTCTCTCTGCCCCTCTCACTCGTGTTTCTCTCTCTCTAAAAAGATAAATCTTTTTTTAAAAAAATCAATTCGGGCACCTGGGTGGCTCAGTCGTTGGGCGTCTGCCTTCGGCTCCGGTCATGATCTCAGGGTCCTGGGATCGAGTCCCACATCGGGCTCCCTGCTATGCGGGAGGCCTGCTTCTCCCTCTCCCACTCCCCCTGCTTGTGTTCCTGCTCTCGCTATCTCTGTCTCTGTCAAATAAATAAATACAATCTTCAAAAAATAAAAAAATTAAAAAAATCCATTCATGGGGCGCCTGAGTGGCTCAGTCGGTTAAGCGCCTGCCTTTGGCTCAGGTCATGATCCCAGGGTCCTGGGATCGAGCCCTGCATCGGGCTCCCTGCTCGGCGGAGAGCCTGCTTCTCCCTCTGCCTGCCACTCTGCCTATTGTGCTATCTCTCCGTCAAATAAATAAATAAAATCTTTAAAAAAAAAATCCATTCGTTCAGTAACTATTTTCCTTATTATGGGCTAGGCACTGAATCAGGTGTTGGGGATACAGATATGAACTAGAAAGCCCTGGCTGAAGATGTTCCCAAGCCCGGCAGAAAGACAGCACTCATCCCACTCTGAGGGGTGCGCTAGCTGAGGAGGAGTATAGGCCCAGGGGCTTGTGCCCCTCCAGGACCAGGACACAGAGCAGCCTGGGCGGGGGGACTGCTTCAGGAGGCTCCAAAGCCCACATTCTTCCCATTGCATTTTCCTGTGAGCCAACATGTCCAGGGACTGGCAAGAGCTCCCCACTGAGGGCCTGTCCACCCCCCTGTCCACCCCCCACTGAGGGCCATCTCCATAAGTCCGCATTTCTCATAAGAATCTCACAGGAAGCTTGTGGGAAGGCAGTGTCGTAGGTTGACTAATGGCCCCCCAAAATACCAGGTCATAATCCCTGGAACCTTATATGGGAAACGAGTCCACTGATGTGATTCAGTTAAGGATCTTGAGATGGGGGGTGTAACGTGGATGATGTGAGCAGGTCACAAATGCAATCTTTATAGGAAAGAGACGGAGATCTGACACAAGACGAGGCCAATGCGAGCGCAGAGGCAGAGACAGAGTTAAGTGATGAGGCCTCAAGCAAGGAGCCCTGGCAGCCACCAGACACAGGATGAAGCGAGACAATGAATGGATTCCCCTTCTAGAGTCCCCTTGATTGTGGTCCAGGGAACTTGCTTTCAGAACTGGGAGGGAATATATTTCTGTTATTTTAAGCCACTAAGTTTATGCTCATCTGTTAGAGCAGCCACAGGAAATGATGAATCGGTGCAGATTCCAAGCACACGTGCCCAGAGAGCCGGATTCAGCAGGGGTGTTTTCTGACAGGCCGGCTGAGTGATCCCCACACCTCCATCTATGCACCACACCGCCCCCAGGGCTTTGGGAGGGGACTCAGGGCTTAACCCCTTAAATGAGGGGGTTTTACTTTTTTTTTTTAAGATTTTATTTATTTGGGATAGAGCGAGAGTAGAGAGAGAGAGCACAAGCAGGGGGAAGCAGGCTTTCCACTGAGCAGGGAGTCCAATACCTGATCCCAGGACCCTAGGATCATGACCTGAGCCGAAGGCAGATGCTTAACCGAATGAGCCACCCAGGTGCCCCTGAAATGAGGGGTTTTTAGTCTGGGGTCTTGTCTTCCACAAAATCTATAGTTGCATTTCAGGACTTCCAGAAATTCCTTAAGATTATATGAACAACTGTGTGGGTGTGGACACATGTTCCTATTTTTTAGGATGGAGGTTTTCTCCAAATTCTCAAAGAGTTCACTGAAAATCAGGCTGAGAACTAACCACTCTAAGGAAAAACTGCTGAGGTGTGTAAACCTGGTCTAGGGTGGGGTGGGGAGGAATGAAGCAATTTGTTCAACTGGGCCCAGCCTCCAAGGGCTTATACTGAGCCTGAGGGACAGGGAAGTTCTAATAAGAAGCAAATCAAATTAAATTCTGGCGTCCTCAAGCCTCAACAAAGCAGAGCATAAGGTAGCTGTGCCCTACGGGAACCTTGTGAGAGGACACAGGCAGGGTCTGTCCTCGTTTTAGCGACATAGTTCATGGAATGGATTCTCTTTTGGGAACAGTAGGTAGGCCATGTCACCAGCGTAACCCAGGATCCAAGCAATCACAGGTCAGTATCCACAGGTGCGCCCGAAGAACCCACAAAGAACCAGCAGGCAGGGCCATCAGACTGTGGGTATTTGTTTATAGTCTCTGAGAAACTTGGCTACTATATTTTTTCCTTTTATTTTATTTTTTTAAGATTTTATGTATTTAAGAAAAAGCGAGAGAGATTTTTTTCCTTTTAATTTAACCTTTTAATCTTGCCTTAGTTGGTATTCATTTTATATCACTTAATCATTTCCATATTTTAATTTTGGCCCCTTCTTTTGAATAACATATTATCATTTTACTTTTGCTTGTTCTATTGCTTGCTTGATGTCTCTCTCTCTCCTACTGGACTGTAAGCTCCATGAATGTAGAGACTTGTCTGTTTTTCTCAAAAACATGTCCTCAGAGGCACCTGGGTGGCCAGTTAATTAAGCACCTGCCTTCGGCACAGGTCATGATCTCAGTGTCCTGGGACGGAGCCTGGTGTCGGCTCCCTGCTCAGGGGGGAGTCTGCTTCTCCCTCTGGCCCTCCCCACTACCCCCCTCACCCCGCTCATGCCCTCTCTCGCACTCTTTCTCTCTAAAATAAATAAAGTAAAATCTTTTAAAACAACAACAAAAAAAAACCCGTCCTCAGCTCCTAGCCTGACAATATCTGACAAACAGTGTTTTCATTTCTCCTGTGAGTGGTCATAACTTTAAATATAAATGAATCTGTAAAATAATGTAGCCACTTTGGAAAACAGTCTGGCAGTTCCTCAAAACCTCAAACACAGTTACCAGGAGCCCCAGCAATTCCACTCCTAGGGACATGCCCAAGAGAACTGAAAACCTCTGTCCACACAAAACCTTTTACACAAATGTTCACAGCAGCACTATTCATAAGAACCAAAACGTGCAAACAACCCAAGTGTCCGCCAACTGATGAATGGATAAATAAAATGTGATATATCCACACAATGGAATATTATTCAGCCATAAAAAGAAAGGAAGTTCTGACACACTCTAAAGCATGGATGAACCTTAAAAACACTATGCTGAGTGAAAGAAGTCACAAAAAGCGCACTTATTGGATGGGACTGCCTTTAGATAGAATTTCCAGAACAGCAATGCCTGGGTGGCTCAGTTGGTTAAGCGTCTGCCTTCCACTCAGGTCACGATCCCAGACTCCTGGGATCGAGCCCCGCATGGGGCTCCCTGCTCAGCAGGGAGCCTGCTTCTCCCTCTGCCTGCCCCTCCCCCGGCTTGTGTGCTCTCTCGCTCACAAATAAATAAATAAAATCTTTAAATAAATAAATAATAGAATTTCCAGAACAGACAAACCCGTAGAGGCAGCAGGTAGATTTGAGGTTGCCTAAGGCTGCCAGTGTGGAGGGGAAAGTAATTGCTGATGAGTACCGCTTTACCGGCTTCCTGGCAAGTGAAGAAAACGTTGTTAAATGAGATAGTGGCGGTGGTTGCACAACTATGTGGATACATTAACAACCACTGAATTGTACACTTTAGCCGGTGAATTTTATGGTATAGGAATGAGATCTCCATAAAGCTGCTATTTTTAAAAAAGAAAAAACCAAAGTGATACGGTCACCTCTTCTTTATGCAAACTTACTAAAATCAACAAGGAAATTTTAAAATGATAATAGCTTGTTTTCAAGAGGAGCTCTGTGTACCAGCCTTGTGTGGCAATGTGGCAGGATGGGACAGCAGGATGGCCAAGACCACCGGCCTCCTCGGCTCGCTGGGCACCTTCTAGAGTGACTTCTGGAAGTCTGGCTTGGGCGACTGCGTGGGGGGGGGGGGGGGGGGGGCGGTCGCTGACGGCTTTCCGACAATGGAGTGAGACGAGATGCGGGGGTGCGGGGGGGTTGTGTCCTCCTGCCCGGCCTCCCACCGCACCCTTTCTTTTGTACCCTCAGAAGGCTCAGACCGCCCGCTCATCCCCGGGATCCCCGGCACCCAAGAGCTGCGCCAGGCGCGAAGTATTGCTCGGTTCAGAAAATGGGGTGCATTAATGAGCGAAGTGCCTTGTACCGTACCCCCCCGGTTCACGGTATTCGGCTCTGGCCGCCAGGTCGCGGGGTGGGGGACCGCAAGGGGTCCGGGAGCGGCGCCGCCGCGGCAGTCGGGGGGCGGGGGCCGCAGCCTTTGTGCGGAGGCCGCTGCCCGCTCCCGCCGCTGGGGGGCGGCCTCCGGCCCGCCGACCCCCGACAATAGCGCGCCGGGTGGGGAGCCGCGCGGTGCCGGAAACTTTTCTCTCGCGCCGCCGCCGCTGCCAGCGCCCATCTCCGGGCCGCGGCCGTGCGCTCTGCCGGGGCCGCCGCCGCCGCGGGGCAACCGGGCCGGGCGAAGGGGGCGCGGGGCGGCAGCGCGGGCGGGCGGCGCCCGGGCCCCGCCACGCGGGAGGCTGGGGCCCGGGCCGGGCGGAGCCGGAGAGCCATGGGGGAGGCTGCCAGCCCCGCGCCCGCGCCCGCGCCCGCGCTCTGGGACTGGGACTACCTGGACCGCTGCTTCGCCCGCCACCGCGTCTGCATCTCCTTCGGCCTGTGGATCTGCGCCTCCTCCTGCTGGATCGCCGCCCACACGCTGTAATGGGGTCGGGACCGGGCGGCGCGGGGGTGGGGGCCGGATCGGCCGCGGGGGGCGGGGGGCGCGGGGCGCTAACCCCACATCCCCGCCGCCAAATCCCTCCTAGAAACCTGGGAGGAAGGGGGCAGAGAGGGAGGAGGCAGGAGGCAGGAGGCAGCTCAGCTCCGGGATCGAAAGGAGCCTTCGGCTGCGGACTGAAGTCGGGACTTCTTTCCGGATTCCGCGCACGGGAGGCTGGCTGGGGGCGGCAGGAGGAGGCCGGGTGGGGCAGTGCGTGGGGCCGGGGACGGCAGCAGCAAGTCCTGCCTGGGTTCTATTGTCAGCCTTTCCCCGCCGACTGGCGGTGTGAGCTGGGCAAGCTTAAAACCTCTGAGCCTCATTTTCCTCACCTAGATGGGGATGGAAACACATGGCAAGATTAAATGAGTTAGTCCCTGTAAAGCTCTTAGTATGTGCTCATTAAACATCCTTATCATTGTTCCCGCGCTGCTACCAACCTTTGGCAGAGGGCGAGGACCTAGGACAAGGCTCTCGGTGTTTCTGGTCTCCCTTTACCCAAGGCCCTCTGATCAGCCATGGGGACTGGCAATGATCTGACTCTGGCCACAGTGGTCACCGTCACCTGGGTCCTAAGCTGGCTGAAGTCTGATTAAAGATGGCCTCCAGGTCTTCGGCCACCCTGTCCCAAGCTGGTGCAACGCAAGTATTCCCCGGCAGAGGAGAAAGGACCAGCAACCCAGAGGGGGCTGGCACCGGCTCATCGTAGGCACCTCGTGGACATTGCCCTCCCTCGTGTGATATCGCTGCAGAGATTTGGCAGCCCCTGTACTCAGTCACTGGAATGCAAATAAAAAGACCCTTAGAACATTTACTGTGGGCCCAGTGTTGCATTTATTAACTCATTTCATCCCTGCCACAGCCCCATGAGGGAGGGACTGTTATTACTCCCATGTACTCATGAGGAAGCTGGAGATTCTGACAGGTTAACTAACTTGCCTGAGTGAATGGAAAGAACTGAACCCCCAGACCCGTATAGAAAGGGGCAGACTTGTGAGGATTAAATTGTCCAGTGGACACTAACGAGGCCCTCTATGTGCATTATTAGGCATTTCCTGACCTGGAAACTCGAGTTGGGAGAGGTTAGGTAAGTCCCCCGAGAATGCCCAGCAGGTCACTCTGAGGGCAGAGGCTCTGCTTTTTCAGCCCACCTCAGGTCTGCTCACCCATTGTTTTCAGGACTTCCCCCTCCCTGAGCCACCCCCCGCTTCAGGCAATGTATGTCTTCCAAGCTGTGTGTGGCCTGGGGTAAGGTCAGCCCAGGATTCCCCTCCCCTGAGAGCTGGGGAGCAAAGCCTCCACATGCAAAGCCAGAGGGTCTGCCGTGAACTCACCTAGTCACCATAGGCCTCACTTTTCCCGGCTCTCCAGTGTGAGGGTTGAAATCAACTATTTCTAATCTGAGTCCAGAGAGTCTCTAGAGTCTTCGCTCTTAGGCTTTGAATTGGTGTCAGGAGCCCAGGGTCCAAATGAAAGGTTTCTGTTCTCACTGTGAGCTTGGGGCTTCATCTGGCAGATCAGGAAATGTGGGAACCCAGCAGCCTTCCCTCCTCCTCCATTGTGCCCCAGGGCGGGCCCTCAGAACCAGCCAAACAGTCCTAAAGACGTGGAGTGAGTACCACCTTGTGGTTGAAGAAAATGAAACAAGAGCTGCAATGGTGCCTCAGTTTCTCCATAAAATGTAGCACGGAAACATCTAGAACAAAGTGTTTCTAAGAGATCTCTGAGCCCTTCCAGGCTGTTGGGCCTTTCTGTGCTTGTTCCAGGGGAGTGGGGCAGGGCAGGAAAAGGGGAATGAGGGAGGGAAGTCAGGCCCCTCCCTAGGGGCCTGTAGGGAGAGGTCAGCCCAAAGTGCCCTGGCATCTTTGAGAGGTCTTGCTCGCTGTATGTGTGTAAAGAACATGCTTGATCTGGGCAAGGGCTGGTAGAAGCCAGGCCACCCCCCTTGCACGTACGGCTTTGCAGGATTTCACGCGAATTTGAAAGAATCAAGTTCCCTTTTTCATTTAGGCAATTTTTTTTATAACCCACATGTTTCTTTCAATAATCAAACCTAACAGCTAGTTTGTCAGCACTGAGTAGTAGGTCATGAACTTGAGTTGGCCTGATTTGTGGGAGGAAAGAAATTCCTCTTCATTAGAGAGGCAGGTCTGGCTCGTGCCGTCGGCTCGTGCTGCAGTCTTTGATCCTTGATTTTCCCATCTGTAAACCAAGTTCAAAAATACCCGTCGAATCCCTGGGGGAGAGAGTGCTTCACAGGGACACAAAGTCACAATTGCCCTTTTCAGACCACCTGCTTTGGGAACCCACTCATGGCTCTGGTGTTCCGTCCATACCCACCCACACCCCTGTCTGTCACCACAGGCTTCTCTATCTGAGATGTGCAAAGAGATCCAGACAGGACCAGTCAGCGCTGTGTGCTGCGTGCTGCCTCCTGACCAGCCTGTGTGACACCATCGGGGCCATTCTGGCCAGACAGCTCACGATCCAGGTGCGTCAGGCCTACAGGTGACAGTGGCTTCTGTCTGGTTCCATCACCATCAAGGTGCGGTTTCGCCTCATGCCTGTGCCCTTCTTGGTGTTTCCGCCCCCGTCCAGTGCTCCTGCCCTGAGAGCCACATGGCTCACTGCTCATCTCCTTCAAGGCTTTGCTCAGAGGTCAGCTTCTTGGTGAGGCCTCCCCTGAGCACTCCCGTGAAGCCGTGCCCTACCTCTACAGCAGGGGCTCCAGACCCCTTCACCCTGCTCTGTTTTTTGCCATAGCTGACCGCCCCCCATACACCGTCTGTTTTCCTTACTTCTTATTGCTTATTGCTTCTGGTCTGTTAACCCCTACCAGAGGGTCAGCTCCCCAGGGGCAAGAATTTGTATTCACTGCCTTATCCCCATGACTTCAAACAGCAGCTGGGACAGAGTAGATGCTCAGTAAATAGTGATGGTTGTGGTGATTGTTTTTAGAGCCTGGAGCCCAGCCCCAGCTCAACAGGGCTGGCTGAATGCTTTCCCAAGTGGTGATGCAGGCTCTGGGGCAAGTGAGAAACAGTGTCAAGCTTTCCCAAGGTCTAGGCCCTCAAACCTGTGGAGAAGGGGCCTATCCCAAGGGCATATGCACTGCAGAGGCCCCTCATGGGCTGGTGCCCACCCAGGTAGATGTGACAGAAGGCAGCCTCGTGTCTGCAACACACACTGGGAGAGTTCGAGACCCTGCTTTGAATAATACTGTCTCACAAACAAACCGCCTTTCATTTTGGGTGCCCATTCTCATTAGCTGGTGGAATATAGTGACACCCAGCTCCATCCCGGTAATAATAGCTGATGTTTAGTAAATACTTCACTATGGGGGTGCCTGGGTGGCTCAGTCGTTAAGCATCTGCCTTCCGCTCAGGTCATGATCTCAGGGTCCTGGGACTGAGCCCTGCTCAGGCTCCCTGCTCAGTGGGGAGTCTGCTTCTCTCTCTGCCCCTCCCCCCAACTCATGTGCACCCTCTCTCTCAAATAAATAAATAAAAAATATTTTAAAAATAAATAAATACTTCACTATGTACTTGGCACTGAGGGCTTGTCTCATATGAGTTCATTTAATACTCGAATTATCTTATGACCTAGGCTCTCTCTTTATCCTTGTTTTACACATGTGGACACTCGGGCTTAGAGGTTGAGTAACTTTTTTTTTTTTTTTAAAGATTTCATTTATTTATTTATTTCACAAAGAGAGAGAGAGAGCACAAGCAGGGGGAGCATCAGGCAGAGGGAGAGGGAGAATAGGCTCCCTGCTGAGCAGGGAGCCCGATGCGAGACTCAATCCCAGGACCCTGGGATCATGACCTGAGCCGAAGGCAGACGCTTAACCAACTGAGCCACTGAGGCGCCTGAGGTTGAATAACTTTTATAAGGTCCAGTAAGCAGCAGTGCCAAGTATCAAACTGCTCTTTTTTTTTTTTTTTAAATTTTATTTATTTTGAGAGAGAACACGCTCATGAGCTGGCGGGGAGGGGGGGGGGAGGGGGGGGGGGGGGGGGGGACATGTGGGCAGGGCAAAGGGAGAGAAAGAGGGAAAGAATCCCAAGCAGACTCCACGCTGAGCATGGAGCCCCACTCAGGACTCGATCTCATGACCCTGAGATCAGGACCTGAGCCGAAATCGAGTCGGACACTTAACCGACTGAGCCACCCAGGTGCCCCTCCAGAGACTGCTGTTAGCCAGTGACTCGACTGGCATAGTGGCTGGTACCTTGGTAGGTAGGAGCCTTGTCCGTTCCTCCAGGTGCTGGTCTGAGCACTTTCCATGTATTGGTTCATGCAATCTGCTTAGCATGGAGGGAGGCACTGTTACCATCCCTGTTTTACAGAGGAGGAAAGTGAAGCCCAGAAAAGGTCAGTGGTTGGGCCAAAGTCACACAGAAGAGGCTGGCCGTGCGCTGGGAAGAGTGCGGAGTGAGAAGCGGAGGGCCGGTTCTGCTGGTGGGCCTCTGCCTAAGGGATCGGTTATTCACGCGCCCCGCCTCTTCGTCAGTCAAATAGAGTTGATAACCAGCCTTTCCTGGGGCCAGTAGGCGTCTTTGCCGGGAGCACCATATCAGTGGGAGAGGAGGCCCAGGATGAGAGGTGCTGTGGTCACTGGAGAACGTTCGAACACCAAGACTGTACCTCCTTTGCTCCCAGGTATTCACAGGTGCCTACCTAGCAGCTGTTGACTTGGTGAACTTTGTCTTCATCCTTTTCCCCATCTGTGGCTGCAGACTGAAGTCTCACCTGGGTGAGTGTGTGGCCTTCTGTTCCTGTGTGCAGCACCCACTGTTTCGTAGGCGTGCTCAGTGCCTCCTCCTTGTCGCGTCTGAGCTGGGCCCCTGCCGGGTGCAAACAAAGGAATGAGCTCCCTGACCCCAGCCAGAGAAGAGAGGCAGGGCCCTAAAGAGTCATCGGTTCTGCTAGTGAAGCGGTGCACGCACGCCATGCGCAACCGGAGGGAAGGATGTGACCGTGGAACGGGGACCGCAGGGAAGGGTACTCCAGGTGAAAAGAACAGTATGAGCAAAGGCCAGGAGGTGGGGTGGTACAGGCTGTGGGAAGGAACAGTGATATCTCAGTGTGCGAGCCCAGGATGGCCAAACAAAGCCCCGTAACTTCTGGAAATGGGTGCCAGAAGTGGGTGTGGGCCACCTCGGGCAGAGAGTCACTGAGCTGGGATGGGTCACCCTGACTCTGTGGGACTGGGCCTTCCTGAGAAGGGGCAGCAGTGTGCCCAGACCCTTGTCCAGAAAGGGAGTGCTTGCATCAGTGGGGTAAGGTAAGGTGCCCCCAGCTGCTCAGCACTGCCCAGAGGAGCCATGTTCTTACTAGAATTTTCAGAGGACTATCTGTCTTGTATTTCAAGGAGACTTCCAAGACCGTGCTCCTTTTTCGCTCACAGTTTCAGGCCCCAGCACAAACACATGGATGCATTCCCCAAGGTTGTGCCGGCTCTGCTCTGTGCCAGGCTCTGCGGAGCTTACAGAAGCTGGGTTGACAGCTGGTTTTCACAGGCTGCAGTCCGTCGAGTTCTAGATCCTAGAGCCTGTGGCATTGTGGTGTTTGTTGCAGGTCGGGGCTCCCGGGAGAGGAAGAGGGGGCGGCGGCTCAGGGCCAGTGTATTTGCTCTGGCCCTGCCGCTGAGCCTGGGGCCAGGCTGGGCGCTCTGGGCCGCCGTCCCAAAGGCTTCAGGCCCCATCCGAGGGCCCCAGCGGAGGCTGCTGGAAAGCCTGCTGCAGGTGAGGCTGAGCCCAGGAGGACGTGGGGGTGTGCGTGTCCCTTCCCTCCTCACGGTCCCAGCAAATGCCCTGGGTAGGGATAGGGTTTGGGCTTGCCGTGGTTGGGAGGAAACTACTAAAATTGGGAAAGGATGGGTCTGGGATGCCTGGGCTGTCTCCTCAGGGCACTGAGCGTGTCGCCTACTCCTGCAGGACAATACTGAGATCCTCGGCTACCTGCTGGGTGGCATCGCTGCCTTTGGCTCCTGGGCTTCCCGGATCCCCCCGCTCTCCAGAATCGTGAGGCTGGGTCGGGGCTGGGACTGTGGGTCACCATGGCAGGTCTTAGGGCACCTGGGAGCATCTTCCAAGCTCCAGGTCCTGGGGTGGAGGGTTGTGTCACATGTGTATCACGTGTGTGTGTGTGTGTGTGTGTGTGTGCGCGCGCGTGTGCGCGCGTGCAGGGGCTGGGCAGCCAATCACGGGAGCTCATGGGGCCTGCTAGAGCCTTTCCCGGGACAGCCCGTTGTGTTCCCTCCATAGCAAAGAAAAGCAGGCTCTCAGGAAAAAGGCCCTGGGGTTCGGTAAACGAACATCCCATTAGGAAGTGAGACGGTTTCAGAGGAGAGCATCACACGGCTGCCGGGCTTCTGTGTATTCGGGAGCACCTCCCCCCAGAAACTGCCCGGGCATCCAGGCTGAGGGAAGCCCTGTGTTGGCCGGTTCCGGAGGGGACGCAGCCGTGACTTGAGATGCTGTGCTTGCCCTTGGGAAACTCACAGTCTCCTGGAAAGACGCAGAAATGCAAAGCAGGATATTTTAATGCTCTGACAAGGATGGAATCAGATGTTTGGGGTTTCGGAGGAGGGAGAAGAGGCTCTCACGCTATTCAAATGAGTGAGGGTGAGATGGTCACACCGCCAGGCGCGGGGGAGGCCGCCTCAGCTTGGCCCCAAAGGGAGGGTGGGCCTGGAGGAGGCAGAGGTGAGGGGAAGCGGGGAGCCCCCGGGAAAAGCCACCGAGGCCAGAGAGCTGCTGCGGAGGAGCAGGATATCGTGGGTGTGCAAACCTGCTCTGCTGTGCCTGGCGGGCCTCACTGACAGGAATAACGGCCAGACCTAACACTGGAAACGTAACGGGCTCCTCGCTGGGGCTAAAAAAAAAAACATCACTTGCCCCAGAGCATCATTTCATAGCAGTTCCAGGAGAACAGGAATCGGGGGTGGCAGTGCTTCGTTGGTCATTTGTGGGAAGCGGAAGCCTGTGTCGCGCTGGCCGGGAACCCCCCGGGGCATGCCGCCCCCAGATCGAGGGAGGGGAGCGTGGGGAGCCCCTGGGACGTGGGGCTCGAAGACCTTCAGAGGGACTGGTGCGTGCCTGGCTGTATTAGTTCCCTGGGGCTGCCGTAAGAAAGGTTCACAAACTTGGGACAACAGAAACGGATTGTCTCAAAGTACTAGAGGCCGGCAGACCAGTACCAAGGTGTCAGCAGGGCCATGCTCCCCGTGAAGGCGCTAGGGAAGGAGCTCTTTCAGGCCTCTTTCCAAGTTCCTGGAAGATCCTTGGCCGATGGCTACGTAACTCCAGGGTCCACACGGCATTCCTTCTCCCGCTGTGTGTCCTCATGTGGCCATCCTTCTGTACGTGTCCAGGCCTAACTTTCCCTTTTATAAAGACACGGTCATATTGGGTGAGGGTCCACCCTAATGACCTCATCTTAACGAGGTCATTTGGAAGGACCCTGTTTCCAGAGAAGGCCACGTTCACAGGCTCTGGAGGCTGGGACCTCAGCATCTTTTGTGAGAGGGGAAAACAAGTCAGCCCCTAACGCCACGCACCTAACATAGCCCCACGACTGTGTCCTTCCTTCCGCTTCGTTTTATTCACAGTGTTTGTCACAGGCTGAAACTAGCTCCTTCAGTTATTGACCAAGTTGTTGGTCCCCAGTAGAACGTGAGCGCCCTGAGGGCAGTGGTCTCGTCTGTTCTGTTCCCCTCTGTATTGCATGTGCTTGGAGCCTGCCCGTGGTAGGTGCCAGCAGACACTTTAAAGACTTAATCTGGTCTGGGACAAAGGAAGCTCATGGATGCAGGAATCAGAAGGGCTTTCTCGGGGCAGAAAGAGCAGCCCTGTTCTCTGTGGTCTAGGGGAAGAGAACCGAAACCAAGACTGGGAAGAGGTTATGGGGGGGGCCACATCCCATTTATAGGTTAGATGCTTTGCATAGTTTCTGGAATGTTGAAAGCGATCAGTATTGTTATTCCTGTCTTAGGAGGCAGTGGGCTCCCCATCGCTAAAGGCATTCAAGCCTGATGGCCCCCTGGCAGGCAGATAGAGTTAGATCATGTTAGGCATTAGATTGGGCAATCTCTGAGGTACTGTCTCTGGTCCCACGAAGAAGAGCCCAGAGCTAGGATCCCCTTACTAGGGAGAAACTCAGCAGGGCTTGGGGTGTTCTGGGAAGCCTAGCCAGCATGGCTGTGAAGCCTAGATTCCCCTCCAGAAGCTGCTTCTAATTTACCCCTGGTGGGGGCGCTGAGAAGCAGAATGGTTGCGTGGCTTTGGTGGAAGAAGGCCCCCTTCTTCCAGGAGGGACGCGCCCGCTGACCAGTACAGCCTATGCTGGCAGCACTGGGACGGGTCGCCGTTGCAGGAGTTGAGGCACGGCTTGCTTCCAGCCGCCAGCGCAGATTTGCCAGGCAGCCCTCTGGCTGAACATCCCCGCCCTGGGTTCTGTGTGACCAGCCAGACGAAGCCCGCATGTGCTGGACCTGCCTTATCTCGAGTCACCGAGCCAACCCCAGGCTATAGCGGTTGCTCAGCACCTACGGCGTGTCCAGTGTGCAGGCAAATAGAGCCCGATAGGCCCTAGTACTGACCACGAAGGGAGATTGAGTTTAAAGTCAGTGCGCACCAGGAATGGGTTGGCACGTGAGTGACAGCAGAGAGCTCACCCAGCTTGAGCTGATCCAGAGGAGCTGCAGGTGCAAATTCAAGAGGCAGAAGGCAGGTCCCAGCCCTGGCCCTGCAAGTCACCTCCCCTCTCGGGCCATCAGTGCCCACAGGAAATGGGGGTGGGCAGGCGGGGGGATCCCGAGGATTTCCCATCACAGCAGTGCTGACTGGGACAGAGCTGCTTCCTGGGCTGAGTCAGGTGCAGCCGGCAGGTCAGGGACCACCCTCCCCAGCCTGGGTGCTGGCTGTCTTTATGAACCATTCTTCAGGGCGTGGCCAAAAACAAAACAGGGAGCCCCGGGAACAAAACTTGAACAAATGCAGAGGGAAACAAAACTCCCAAGGAATCTTTTTGAGAGTTAAAATAAAAATGGGGAAAATCAGCCAAACCTTACTTTTTCCTCTGAATTTTTTTCACTCTCTAGCCAAGGCCTGTATCTCTAAATATAATTATTTAATAAATAAAATGAATTGTATATAATTTATATGTTTAAATATGCCATGTGATTATATATAATTGAAAATATATAGTATTTGTGTATATACATATAAATGTATACACAAAGTGACTTCATACCTGTAAAGGGTACTTAACATATAAATATTGAAAGTGGCTTTTTTGGCTTTTGTTTTGTTTTGGTTTTGGTTTTTTTAACCAATATTGTCATTATTCATTCTCCAAAAATATCCCCTGGCTTCAAAACTTCCAGAATGTTATCTCTAATGTTCTTGACCTTTTCCCGGCTGACCAGATTCAGCACTGGTGGTCCCAGGAAGAGAAGTCAGCCCTTGGCTGTTCATAATTTGTCCTAATTCCTTCCCATTCTCCCAGCTGACATTCATGATCCCCTACCCAGTGCCCGGTGTCAGGAATGCTGAGGTGGGGAGGACACTCTCAGGAGCTCTCTGTCTGCTGGAATGTGTCATGTGTCATGGGGCCTGGAAGTGGGCGTGACTCGCCCCTGTTAGGGTGGAGATGGTATGGGAGGTTTCTCAGAGCTGAGTTTAAGCCAGGTTCTGAGGCATGAATAGGAGTGTACCAGGCAAAAGAAGCAGCTTAAGCAAAAGCCGAAGCAGCACCTTTGGGGACTGGCCATGGGCAAAGAGAGGGCTTGCCCTCCAACCTGCATGCCACCAAGAGTCTAGGTCTTAGAATCCAGCTCTGAGGAAGGTGGAGGAAGGCAGTGCTCCTCCCTGCCCAGCTCCCTCCTCTCTCTCTGTCCAGTGCCAGGGTAAGGCGTTTCCCTCCATCCACCTGTGGACCCGGCTCCTGTCAGCTCTGGCTGGCCTCCTCTATGCCTCGGCCATTGTGGCCCATGACCGGCGGCCTGAGTACCTGCTTCGGGCCACGCCCTGGTTCCTGACTTCCCTGGGCCGAGCTGCACTGGACCTGTCTGTATCCACCTGGGACCTAGGGGGCTTGACTGCTTGTGTCTCATCTCCTCCCTGCCCCTGTGGTGCCCTCCCTCCCTCTTGCTAGATGGAGCTCTCTCCCAGGGGCCAGGGCCAAGATTTGAGGCCTGGGGCCCACAGATGCAATTGCAGTTATTTGCAATTTTGTATTTTGTTTCCTTTATGTACATATAAAAGAAAGAATGATCTCTTGGCTGGAGCTCTGTGGAGCAGCAAGGGGGAGTATGCAGGTTCCTGGCCCTGGAAGCAGGAGACCCGGACACCAGTCTCACTGCTGCTTCTCCCCTGGGCCAGCCCCCACCCTCCCGGGAACCTGTTCTCCTCATCTTTGCCCTTTCTCACAAGGCTAGGAACGGGCTTTGCAAGCCGACCTGCCGTGCAGGGCTAAGCATCCCTGTTCTCTTGTCTTTGGCACTGGAGCCTGGGCTGGGGACACAGATAAAAACTGACGAGGGCTGCCCTTTGTCAGTGACTGCTGAGCACCATTCTGGTTCCCCAAGGGGTGTTGCCTGATGCGCAGGCACCCCAGTGACCTTGACATGAGAGCCTCAAGGGCAAGCAAAGCTCAGACAGTGCGTAATTTGTGTATGAAAAACCTGTGGATTTATCAAACATAGTTTAGAAATAGTTAAAAACCATGATTTTTCTCATTAGCTGCCATATTAAGTTACCAGAAGTTGGTGGCTTGAGACAAAAGAAGTGTATTCCCACAGTTCCAAGGGCTACAAGTCCAAAGTCCACGCAGGGCCACGCTCTCCTGGAGGCTCTGGGGGAGAACCTTCCCTTGCCTCGTCCAGCTTCTGATGGCCCCTGGTGCTCCTTGGCTCTGGTAGCGTAATTTTATCTCCTGCCTCAGTCTTCACAAAACCTCTTCCCTTCGTGTATCTCTGCCTGTCCTCTGATCTTATAAGGACTCCAGTCATGGGACTAAGGGTCCAACCTAATCCACATGACCTCATCTTAACTATATCAGCAAAGACCCTTTAGAGAAAAAAAGAAAAGATTTTATGTTTAAGTCATCTCTACACCCAGCGTGGGGCTTGAACTCACAATCCCCAGATCGAGTTGCTTGCTCCATCGCCTGAGCCAGCCAGAGGCTCCAAGCCCCTATTTTTAAATAAAGTCACTTTCTGAGCTTCCAGATAGATATGAATTTGGGTGGGGGTGGAGGGGCACTAGTCAACCCACTCTGTGTACTGTCCCTGTAAGCCAAGCCCTTCAAGGAAGATGTTTTTCAAAATGCTTTTGTTGAACAAGTATTTACTAAGTATTTACTAGATTCTTAGAGGCAGGGTCTTGCTGGCTGCTGGGCCCTGGTGGGGGAAATGTCAGACCCGGTTCCATTCTTAAATGAACATGTCTGTTCTGGGGCCAACCCAGGCAGGATCATCCCCGGGAGGGAGAGAGCCCAGTCGGGGGGCCCTCGGGGTGTAGAGGTGAAGGTAGCTGTGGGTGGCCGAAATGCTCTGCTTCCTTGGACCTTAACTCTCCCTCTCAGATCATATTCCTCTCCTGGGTGATGAAGAGCAAGATGAGACGGACCTTGGGATTTGCCCCTGAAGCCAGAGAGAGCCCTGACACCCAAGCCCTCTTGACCTGCGTGGAGAAAGAGGAAGAAAGCCAGGAGGCAAGGTCTCACCAGCTGGAAAACTGCTGGTCCCACGGGGGTGCTGTGTGCGGAACCCGGAGGCTCCCTCGAACTAGGACAGTTGGTGACTTTATTTATTTTTTTTTTTAAGATTTTATTTATTTATTTGAGAGAGAGAGAGAGACAGCGAGAGAGGGAACACCAGCAGGGGGAGTGGGAGAGGGAGAAGCAGGCTTCCCGCCGAGCAGGGAGCCCGAGTGGGGCTCGATCCCAGGACCCTGGGATCACGACCCGAGCCGCAGGCAGACGCTTAACCGAACGAGCCACCCAGGCGCCCCTATTTTTTTTTAAAGATTTTATTTATATATTTAAGAAAGAGAGAGAGAGAGAGAGAGAGCATGAGCAGGGGGAGGGGCAGAGGGAGAAGCAGACTCCCCGCCAAGCAGGGAGCCCAATGCGGGGCTCGATCCCAGGACCCTGGGATCACGACCTGAGCCAGAGGCAGATGCTTCACCGACTGAGTCACCCAGGCGCCCCTCTTCCGTAGTTCTTTACAGCGATGGTTCTCAGCGTGTGGTCCCTGGACCAACTTCGGCCGTGAACTTATTGGGGATGCAATTCTAGGGTTCCACCAGCCCCACCAACTCTGAAGCTGAGGGTGTTCTAATAAGTCCATTGGGTGCTTCTGATGCACACTTAACATCTGAGAACGATTGCTTTACAAAAGCATTTATTTAGTGCCTACTGCAGTGGTTCCCAGACTTTGCCACACTTTAGAATCATCTGGGGGGCTTTGAAACTCCAGGTCACATCCCTACCAGTGAATCAGAATGTCTGCTGGGGGGTGGTGGGCAAAGCTCAGCATCAGGGGTTTTTTTGTTTTGTTTTGTTTTGTTTTTAACATGCCGGGTGACTCCACTATGCAGCAAAATTTGGGAACCACTGGCCTACTGTGACCTCAAAGAAAGAGTTAAGAGGGGCACCTGGGGGCGCCTGGGTGGCTCAGATGGTTGAGCGTCTGCCTTCGGCTCGGGTCATGATCCTGGAGTCCCGGGATCGAGTCCCGCATCGTGCTCCCTGCTCGGCGGGGAGTCTGCTTCTCCCTCTGACCCTCTTCCCTCTCGTGCTCTCTCTCATTCTCTCTCTCTCAAATAAATAAATAAAATCTTAAAAAAAAAAAAAAAAAGGAGGGGCACCTGGGTGGCTCAGTCAGTTAAGCATCTGCTTTCAGCTCAGGTCATGATCCTGGAGTCCCGGGATCGGGTCCCGCATCGGGCTCCCTGCTCAGTGGGGAGTCTGCTTCTCCCTCTGACCCTCTCCCCTGTTGTGCTCTTTCCTCCTTCACTCTCTCTCTCAAATAAAATCTTTTTTTTTTTAAGATTTTATTTATTTATTTGACAGAGAGAGACACAGTGAGAGAGGGAACACAAGCAGGGGGATTGGGAGAGGCAGAAGCAGGCTTCCCGCTGAGCAGGGAGCCCGATGCGGGGCTCGGTCCCAGGACCCTGGGATCATGACCTGAGCCAAAGGCAGACGCTTAATGACTGAGCCACCCAGGCGCCCCTCAAACAAATAAAATCTTAAAAAAAAGAGAGAGAGAGAGATAACATAGGAAGCAGAAAGTGAAATGTACCATGAAAGAACAGAAAAAAATATTTTAGGGATTCTTTTGAAGAAAATGGGACTTTGTTTTTGGAAAATATCTCCTAAGAATTCTGTTTTTGTCTCCCCGTCTCTGCTTGAAAGAATTCGGATTGGGTGCCTCTCACTACACTACCACCCTGCAAATCACTCAGGACAATGGCAGCCATCAGTCGCTACTTGGAGCTGACCATCGAGCCGGTGCAGCAGGTAAGTGGCAGTGGGCCACAGCCAAGGGTCCAGAAGGGTGGGAAGTAGTCATGGAGGGCTTCCTGGAGGAGGTGACACTTGAGCTGCAGGTGGGCAAGATGAGGCAAGAAAGCATGTAAAAGGAGGAAGGAGCTCTCCAAGGCCTCAGTGGGGGACGGGTGAAAGGCTGGAGAGGAGGCAAAAGAGAGATCGTCCCACTGTGGAGCCTGTCTTCCTGAGGGGCAGGAGTCCAGGAGGCATCAGGCCTAGAGACTCAGGGGCAGAGGTGCCTTTCAGAGGTGTCACTCAGGCAGCATTGGGGGGCAGACGAGGCGAGAGGAGATAGAAGCAAGGCCGTCAGTGAGGGACAGCTATAAGTCCAGGAGAGCGGTGGTGTGGCCTGAACCAAGGCTGGGGCAGGGGGAGAGGCGGAGACTGAGTGGAGGCTTGCGAGGCCGAGGGAGGCTGAGCGCTCCCGATGACTCCCGAGGTCCTAAGCCTGTGCGCGGAGGGTCCTCGGGAGGAAGAAGTTTAGAAAAGAGATGGGAAGAGGTGACAGGAAGCCCACCCCCTCGTCCCACACCCACTAAGACTTCCAGCCCCCTCCAAGTCCGTAAATCCTGGGTCGGCTCTGTCCTGGTTAGGATTGAACACACTTGGCCACTGGCTGCTTCGGATTTATGGAGCCCCGGTGCTCCCAGCTTCTCTGCCACCTTGTGCAGGCCCCTGAGGGCGGGCTGGCCCCCGAGGCTGCAGCACCCTGGCTCTGTCCCCGCAGGGCTCCCTCCTCCCGGCCTGCTTGCCTGCCCAGGCCCGCAGTCCCAGAGCTCTTGGGGCCAGCTCTCGCTGCTGTCCCCAGCGTGCGTGCCCACACTGTCCCCTCCCAGCGGGGTCACCACATGGCACCCCACCCTTGCCGTGTCCGAACGGAACTTGGGATTGCCATGCCCTCCCCCTCCCCCATCCTCTTCCATGCAGTTGGCCAAGCCCCAGATTCTTCTCTCCCCCTCACTGCACGTGCACTCCAGCTGTGAGTATCCTACATACTGCTTTCACAATAGAGCCAGCAGCCTCCTACCTCATTCCCTCATCCCCTTCTCGGGAGTTCACCTTGCCCCCCCTCCACTTGCAGCCAGCAGCCAGAAGGGGCAACTACATCGTGTTCCTCCTTGGTCTGAAGCCCCCTGGCTTCCCATCTCATACAGAAAAAAATCTAAAGTTCCACAGACTTGCGAGACCCCGGAGCCCAGCCCTCGCTCCCTCCCCAACTCTCTCCTATTCTCTTCCCTCTTCACTCACTCTTCCCAGCTGCCTAGGATTTCTCTCTCCATTCCTGTGCCTAGAATGCTCTTCCTCCTAATTGCTTTTATATGGCTGCCTCCTTCTGGTCTTCCGGACTTCCGTTTAAACGTCACCTTCTCTGGGTGGCTCAGTCGGTTAAGCATCTGCCTTCGGCTCAGGTCATGATCCCAGAGTCCTTGGATCAAACCACGCCATGAACTCCCTGCTCAGCAGGGAGTCTGCTTCTCCCTCTACACCTCCCCCCTGCTCTTGATCTTTCTCTCCCTCTCCCCAAAAAAACAAATAAAATCTTTAAAATAAAATAAATGTCACCTTCTCAAAGACCATCCCCGACTACACACTCAAAAGTAGCCTCTACCCTTCTATCATATTTCTCCGTTTTACTGCTTTTAAGTACTCTACAAAGCACTTCTCACTATCTTTTACTTCGGTTGTCTGTCTCCTGCTGGGATGTAAACTTTGCCTCCTTCTCTCCTGTTTGCCTAGACCCTGGTGCGTGAGGCCCTCGGTAAAGGCTGTTTGGATGTTTGGAGCGTGGCACGGAGCTCATTAGTAGCGGCCCCGTTCAGCTGCCCGAGGGACGGGCTGGTGCTCAGGATTTGGGCCTGAAAGATAGGTTTTATTACTCTTTGTTGTGGTTCCTTGGAAAGGGGGCACAAGTAACCCCAGGACGTCAGTGGCGTTCAGAGAGATTGAGAGCACACTCTCACAGTTAAGAGCCCACTTGGGCCATAAAACCCTTCTTAGGATGGGAAGTCTGGGGAGAGAGCACAGGGAACCCCAGCAGCATCTGGGAACGTTTTACGCTAGAAATTTTTAAATCATCGAACTTCTGAAAAATAATAGTGCAAAACTTGCATTCACTCTAACCCTCCCAGTACCTGAATCTTGAGTGGATTCATGCCGCGGAACAGACTCCGGGAAAAGAAAAGTGTGTCCCTCCTTCATTCTCTTCCATTGAGGCCACCTGCAGCACATTTTTGAGCAAATAGTCCCATTTGGCTTCTTCGTTCTGTGTCCACCAGAGGGCAGTGATGTCGCTGAGACAGCTCCCAGCAGCCAGCCTGCAGGCCCCGTTCCCCGTGGCACGGGAAGCAGCTTCTCTGGGCTCCAGGGCCACCACTCCCACAGTAGTGTGTTTATTGAGGGCTAACTACTTGCCAGTCTTTGAGACAGTCATAACAGCCATCGCTTCCGTGATGCTTCTTACGCTGGTCATAGATGGTGCTTAGAGTACTGGACTAAGTGCTCTGTAACCAACCATAGAAATGCTCCCTCTGGGCTAAGTGCTTTGTGTACATGAACTCATGTAAACCTCACAGCCGACCCCCCACCTCATTTTACAGATAAGGAAAACGGGGCACAGAGAGGTTAAACAACTTGCTCAAGGTCACACAATCTGTCAGTGGCAGAACCAGGATTCAGACCTATCTCTACCCGAGTCTGTGCACTTGACCATTAGGCAACACTACCTCTTACTTGGCATAATGTCTGACACCAAGTAAGCACTTGATAAATGGTTGGTTTTTAAATTATTATTAATGCAAATTCTCATAACTATTATTTCTATTGTTATTATTGAATGATTAACCATTGTATTATGATTTTAAATTGAGGTGCAGGGAGGGTTAAGTAACTTGCCCAAGATCTCATACTTAAAAAAGCACAGGAATGGGTTTCAAATGAAGCCTGTCTGATCCTGGGACCTGAGCTTTTTTTTATTTTTTATTTATTTTTTTATTTTTTTAGATTTATTTATTTATTTATTTAACAGAGAGAGACAGTGAGAGGGGGATCTCAAGCAGGGGGAGTTGGAGAGAGAGAAGCAGGCTCTCCGCTAAGCAGGGAACCCAGTTCGGGACTCGATCCCAGGACCCTGGGATCATGACCCGAGCTGAAGGCAGACGCTTAATGACTGAGCCACCCAGGCGCCCCCGAGCTTTTTTTTTAAGGAGAACATGTTCTCTGTGTTCATTTCATGCCTGCTCAGTTAGCCAATTTTTTGTTTTTCATGGCAATGTCCCAGGGGACAAGGTTGTGGTGAAATAGGTCCCCTGGTGCCATGTGCATCGCTGTGTGTCCTGTCTGCCCAGCCATCTGGAAGTGGACAACAAGGCCACAGGGATGCTCACTTGTCTTCCCAGCAGTCTCTCCCGGGCGCTCGCTGGTCCTAAGGAGAGGTTTTCCAGGAGATGCACCTGGGTTCAGGCTGAGCTCAGAGGCTGAGGGCCATGGGGTCATGGGGATCATGGCTTGGAGCATTTGAAAACTCATTTTCTAAAAAAAAGAAAGAAAGAAAAGAAAAGAAAACTCATTTTCTCTCTTGATTCAGGTGTGGTCGTGCCCTGAGGAATTCACAGACTCTATTGTTGTTGCCTGGGGGACCTGTGCCCCCTACCCCCCCAGCCTATCTAGCCAGCTCTCGCGTGAAACCCTGCGCCTGATGCATCCAGGCCTGGAGTCTGCGTCATTTGGGGTCCAGTACAAGTAGCCATTCTCATGTGTCTGGGGCATTTACACCTGAGCCCTCTGACCCCCCCCCTTCAAAGGAGGCAAGGCAGGGACTACTACCCCCTTTGCTAGATTAGGAAACTGAGACTCAAGGAGGAGGCATTTCTTGCCAAGGTGTGCGGTTTGTTGTGGAAGATGTGGCTCTAGAAGGCAGGTTGTTCCCCTGTGGTGTGTCAGTGGAAGGACCCAAATCCTGCCTGGTTCTGAAGCCCCAGCCAGCAGGGCTTTGAGGATCTCCGACCGAGCCCCCTGAGCCCTGTGGGGGGAAGTTCTCTTCTGAGATGGATGGATGGATGGATGGATGGATGGATGGATGGATGGGTGGATGGACTGACGGAAGGACGGAAATCTTGCAAGTTTCTTCCTCCCTTTACCTTCCCGAGCTGCTGGTGGGTATGAGGCCATGCAGTACATTTTGGCAGAAGCTCTCCAAATTACAAATGTACATACCCTCTGATCCAGGAATTCCGCTTCTAGAAATGTATCCTTTAAGTACCCTGAAACCTTGAATGTACAGTAGAATTTCCTGCAGCCAGTGTTGTAAAAGCAAGAGACTGGGAACGCCCTCAATGTCCGTCAGTAGAGGACAGGTTTTGCAGATTGGGAACACCTACACGATGCCACGAAAGGAACAGAAAGAGCAACAAAGCCTCTGCTATAGAACTATCTCCAGAACATATTGTGAAGTGAGAAAAAGCAAGGTGCCTAGGAGAGTGTAGATGTGCTGCCACTGTGTGTGGAACTAGGGGAGCTGTATATTTGCATTTGACTGGTATGGATGGACTATCGGGATGGATGCACAGGACCCCGAGTCCTGGCTGCCCCTGGGAAGACCTGGGTGGCTGCGGGATTAGGGTGGGGGCTGACTTTGCATTCTACACCCTTTTGTACCTTTTTTAAAAAAGATTTTATTTATTTGAGAGAGAGAGAGCATGAGTGGGGGGAAGGGCAGAGGGAGAAGCCGACTCCCGGCTGAGCAGGGAGCCCCATGTGGGGCTAACCCCAGGACCCTGAGATCATGACCTGAGCTGAAGGCAGATCTTAACCAACTGAGCCACCCAGCGCCCCTTGTACCCTTTCAATACTGGAGTATTTGAATGCTTTGACAATTCAAAAATAAAGCAAGCTAAGTCTCCCTGCCTGCCTTTTCCCACACACCTTGCAGGCAAGCTGCAGCACCACCAGGCTGCCCGGCGATGGACAGATGAGCCCTGGAGACACCACACTGCAGGAGCCCCCCTCGTACCCTCCCGTTCAGGTCATCCGGGCCCGTGTGTCTTCCAGCAGCTCCTGCGAGGTCTCCTCCATCAACTCGGACCTCGAGGTACACGCTGCCGCCCTCCAGGTGCATGGCTATCACTCACTGCCGCCTGCCCGTGCCCCCGCGGCGCTTGCACTGCTGTGCTCGAGGCTGCCCACGCTAAGCTCACGCCCGCTAGGCGGTGAACGAGCATGCACGGCCCTCCCGCCTCGGGAGGCGCGCACGCCCGCTGGGCGGTGAACGAGCCTGCATGGTGCTCCCGCCCCCGGAGGCGCGCACGCCCGCTGGGCGGTGAACGAGCCTGCATGGTGCTCCCGCCCCCGGAGGCGCGCAGCGGTGAACGAGCCTGCATGGTGCTCCCGCCCCCGAAGGCGCGCACGCGGGGCGGGGCTGAGAAGAGCTTCCTTGGTCAAATGAGTCAGGGCCACAGGGCGTGTTGCAGTGCCGTCTTAGAGTCACTTGCATGTTCAAGTCTTACAGAATTAAACGCATGAGTGATTAACTTTCACAGTCGGAGTGTTCCCTGAACCCATTTGACCATGGAGCATCTCTTCCCCCGGAGGAGCACCAGCTACCGGCCTGGAGCTCTCAGGGTCTCGTACTCAGGAGCCCTGTGCTGGGCACCGTGCACGGCACTTCAGCAAACTCCACCTCAGATCTGTGAAGAAAACACAGGTCATATTTTGGATGCCACAACTGGCTCTAACTCTCGGGTCAAGCTGTTAGGTCACTGTCCGTCCCCCCGCTGTGGCTCCCGGCCCGGTTCTAGGAGAAAGTTTCCCTTTGCCTGTGGAAAATGAGAACAAAGACGGTGTCGTGGGTGTGTGGAGGCAACAGGAGAGTGTCCGCTGTCTTTGGCAGGGCTTGGGTGGGGAAAGGAGGACTGTCCTTCCCCCTGGGTTTGTCTTCTACACTCTTGGAGTTAAAATGCCCTTTTATAAAATGATGATAATAGCAAGTGGTAGTTGGTGTTGAGTTTTTGGTTTTGGCTTTTGTAATGGCCTTATCTGGCAAAATAGTCAGTTAGCCATCTTGGATGAGTCCAACTTGTTGTGAACTCCAAAATCGGAACGACTCAGAGCCAATGATCTGTGGGATACAGTCCAGATTCTTTTTTTTTTTTTAGATTTTTTTTAAATTTATTTTATTTGAGACAGAGAGAATGAGAGAGAGAGAGAGCACATGAGAGGGGGGAGGGTCAGAGGGAGAAGCAGACTCCCCGCCAAGCAGGGAGCCCGATGCGGGACTGGATCCCGGGACTCCTGGATCATGACCTGAGCTGAAGGCAGTCGCTTAACCAACTGAGCCACCCAGGTGCCCCAGATTCTTTAATGTGAGGTTCTAGACCTTTCACCGCTACCTTAGCCTCATGGGATCACCCCCCACCCTTATCACCTCGATGTCCACCTTGGCAGTAGACTGTTCCCTGTACCTAGGCCTCTGGGCCTTTCTCCCTGGGGTTCTCCCTGGCCCATGTGTCAGAATCCTACCCAGATGCCACCTGCTGGGTGATGTTACTTTCACGACGACAACACACACACATATGAGATTAATGGCTCCTTCCCTTGGGTGCCAGAACATACACCTCTCTTACACAACTTCCATTGTTCGCCGTGTCATCTGATGAGCTGTAGGGGCGTATCTCCCCACCAGGCTGGGCATGAACTTTTTAGGAGTAGGGCCTGAGCCACTTTTACCTTTCTCTGCCCCTCGATTCCAGAACACAGCGGGCCATTGAAAGCTGGGTTTTGAGTGAAGAATTCTGCACCAGACTGAGGACCGTTTGGGGCCCATGTATCCCCATGTCTTTTGGTGATGTTTATTTCCTGGATCCAGTCTCAGAATTTGTAGGACACCCACAGCACATGGCTTGGCAGCCTGCATCCCTCAGTCTTGGCAGAAATCTAAGGCTAGGGGGGATGGATGCAGAATGAGCCTGACGGCCAAGTGTGTTCAGTGAGGAGGAAAGCCAGATAAGTCAATGAGTCAGGGAGGGCCTGAGGAGACCCAGGATCAGTATTTGCTCTGTGGAAACAGGGGCAGCCAAAGTTGAGGTAAGGATTGGACAGTGACCTTGAAAAATTGAGAACTTTGTCTCCGTGGCAGGTTTGGGCCATTCAGTGATTTGTGGTCCTTGGCCTTCCCCCGTTCTTTACAACCTGTGGTTTTCTAGCCATTGATTTTTTAAAACTATCTAAGTACCAAGGGGACAGGGTTACACTTTTAAATTAGGCAAATGGAAGGCTTTGCCCATGTTGAAAAGAATACAGTTTTTGAAGCTCACCTGCCCCAGCCCACGACACAGTCCTCCGGCTTCACTCCCAAAAGCACACACACCACAAATGACAAAGCTACTGAGACCTGCAAAGAAATAACTTAGAATTCCACTAGATATATACACTAACAGATTCAACGGAATTGGAAAACTCCCAACACAGACGGTTCAGTAGATGAGCAGGAGACAGTGGAGCTTTTGTCCGCTGTGGGTTCCACTGGGCCTGCTGGTTGTCTGCCTGTTCTGTTCTTAAAAGTAATACATGTTTGTTGTGGAACATTTGGAAAATGCAAAGAACAAAATTGAAATTACCCCACAAGTCTACCAACCAACGGCTGCCTCTGGGTGGTGGGACTGTCCAGGCTTGACAGGGTCCCCTGGTTTTTGAAGCAATATTCCTTAAAGATCCCAGTTCATTGATGGCAGAATATGAGCAAGAAGGTGTCTCTTGGCAGGTGAGTGACCTAGCACTTCACCTGCCCGTTTGGTCACTTACTTGGCACATATTTTCTGAGCATGGGAATTGGAAAGAAAAATGCCTGAAGGCTGGCCTGAGCCCACCTCACAGGGTGGCAGGCATGGGGTAACTTGGTCACAGATGAGAGTGTTACTCCCCCAGACCACACTCCTGAGGGACTGAAGCCTGGGGACCGATGCCAGAGCCTCAGTCCAGCACTGCCTCTGGCTTATGACTTCTTGCTCTCAGGCTTGCACAGTTCAAATCTTTGCTGGCGTTAGGCCGAGACAGCCATGGCATCTGACCCCACTCTCGGGCTGCGCCACCCTGCCCATCTCCCCTGGACTCCCCTGAGGTGGCCTTGTCTGTCTGTCTTGATGGCTTCTGCTTGTCCCCTCAGACCCCTAAGTGAATGCATTCCAGCTCCCCACCGTGGAGGCCTGGGAGCCCCTCTGTGTCATTGAGGTGATGTGTTTATCTCTCCTGTGGTCCTTTATGATGTTGTAACTCTCAGATGGTGGCTTTATGTCCGTGTGCCAGGCACACACTGACTGGGGTGAATACTACTTCCTGCGGTGCTGGGGAGGCGGGGGGGCTGGGGCGGGGGGTCCCCACAGCACCTAGTTCACTCTGTGCCTGCACATCCATCAGTCAGGATGATGGTTGTCATCGCTGACACTGACGACGTGTGGGTCACATGCCAGACACTGCGTGCTCTGTACTTTACAAGCGGCAGGCACTCCAACAGCCCCGAGGCAGGTACCTTTGTTATTCTTTTTTTTTTTTTTAAGATTTTATTTCTTTATTTGAGAGAGAAAACACATGAGAGAGAGCTTGTGGAGGAGGGGCAGAGGCAGAGGGAGAAGCAGGCTCCCCGCTGAGCAGGGAGCCCTATGCGGGGCTCAGTGCGGGACTCAATCCCAGGACCCTGGGATCATGACCTGAACCGAAGGCAGATACTTAACTGACTGAGCCACCCAGGTGCCCCTACCTTTGTTATTCTTGTTTTCCAGAAGAGGGGACTAGAACTCAGTGAGTTTAAGTAAGTTGCCCAAGAAAACGTTAATAGTAATAATAATAATAATAATAGGGGGCAGGCGTGGGGTTTGACCCCAGCTCTGTCTGGCTCTGAAACCCCTGTTGTTAACTGCTACACCGCACTGCCTTGGCAGGGACTCCTACCCAGGGAGGTATGCAGGACCAGGCTTATCCTGCATTCCCATTTTACAGATGAGAAACCCGACTCTCTGTCCAGGACTCTTCCTGCCCCCCCTGTACTCCCCTGGGTGTTCAGGGAATGCCCTAATAGGAGAAAACACTGGGGGTTGCAAGTAAATGCACTGGTGGCAGAACAGGAGAAGGGCCGAGACAGAGACCGATAAGCCGGGTGAGCTCACATGGAGGGAGACTTTGGATTATTTTCACCTTTCCTCAAGTGTGCAGGGCTGGGTTGGTCAGGCCAGATGAATGATGCCAGAGCCGTCAGTGTGACCTGTGACCCTGCAGGGAGGCCATGTGTTTGGACTGTGTGGGATTCTGGACGTCTGCCCAAGAGATGGCATGCTCCACAGAGACAGGATCCACTCGTTCATTTGCTCACTCATTCACCCACTCAGCACAAGGCAGCCCTGCCCCTGCAGAGCCATCCGAGGGCCGACTGAACAGACGCTGCGTGTCTACAGTGGGGGCCGCAGCCCAGAAGGACAGGGCTTTCGGGAGTGGCCTTTTCCCTTTCTGGGGCAGCCAGCCCCTGACTTGCCTCCAGTGTTGAAACTGTTCCTGTGCCTTTTGAAGCCCTTCCCTTCCTTTCTCTCCCTTCCCCTCCCCTCCCCTTTCCTCTTTTCTTTTCCTTTTTCTTTTCTTTTTCCTTTCCTTTCCTCCACACCCCCCCCCACTGGGATGCAAGAAAAGATTTAAGTCCAGCTTTGTGATGAAAGAGTATTTAGTCTTTTTTCCCTCTGTACTCCCTCAAAATGCCATAGACCTGGTGGAAGAAGCTTTGTAGAAATTTTGCAAAGAGGCTGTTTCTGTCTTTGGAACAAAGTCTGTTGTGTGTACGTGTGTGGGGCATAAGAACGGGCCCGAACACCAGAGTGCTCTATTTGAAGAGGGTCAGGTCCCTGTATGTCCCTGCTAATTCTGTGCCCAAACCTGTTGACAACCAAGACTGCTTGTTCCCTCTCTAAACCCTGCTTCCAGCACCAGCAGACCAGGACAGATTCCTTTGGATGTTTGCCATTCTTAAGGCCAAATCATTCTTTTAAGGAAAAAAATGATATGTATGTGTGTATATATATGTACACACATGTACATATAATGAAACATTTAACTTTTTATAAAATGTATATTATATATAAATTTATATTTGTGTATAAATTTATTACCTATATTTTTTAAATATATATATTAATAGGCTATAAAAGTGCTAATTTTAGAAGAAAATCATGTTAGTATGAAGAAGGAGGCCAGAACATTCCAGTAAGTCCAAAGTTCAAAATCAAGTTCAGGACATGGATTCTGCCCTCCACGGATCTGTGTCCTTCCCAGAGAGCTGGCGCCACTTGCAGCGAGACCATGAGAAAGAATACTTCCTGGAATGTGTGTTCAGTCAGCTGGTTCCCCCCGGGTGAGCAGGGAGGCTCCCCTGGGCCCCAGAGGGAAATGGGCTGTGCAGGACACAGCACAGACTCGGGCTTCTCTGGGCTCTCACTGACCTGCCAGGCAGCCTTGGGCCCCCACTGGACTTCTTGAGTTTTAGTTTCTCCTTCTGTACATAGGAATCTTGAGACTTGTGCTGCCTATATTACAGGGTGACTGGGAGGATCAGGTAGGGGCAGCTGGTGTGCTACACATAGGAAAGCAGGCTGGAGGTGGGCTTGGATACGCACTCTGGGCCTTCTGGCCATGGTATCAGTGGGACTGCACTCATCCTTTCTCTGGACCTACTCTGAAAGTGGAGACAATGATTTCAGGGAGGGCGGTGAGTCTCTGCCAAGGTCGGGATGTGAAGAGCACTGTTCCCACAGATGCTCACTCTGAAACCCCAGCTTTGGACTGGGCTGCCTAACACCATGACCTTAAGTGTAAAAGTGTATTCTGGAGTTTGGGCAGGTGGAGAGGAGGAAGGAATGCGTGGGGAAGTGAAACCCTGCTCCGTCTATGGTAAGTGCTATAGAATAGCTTAATGAACTAGAGAAATAGAAAGGGTGCCATTTGGAAGCATATGGCGTAATTTTTTAAAGTCTGTAAGGCTCCAGGTCAAAAGGAAATCTACTTAATGAATTCTGGGAGAGAATTATAGCTGGCATGTACCTGGCCAGTGTTTAACACTTTATAATTAGAAGAAACAAAAAAACTCTGTAATCGGTCCTGAGTCCAATACCACGTCACCTCCCCAGTTTTGGGAAAAGTCACTTCTCCCTAAATGCAAGAGGACGAAGTCTAAAATGTAAGCCTGGAAAGTGACCCTGTTTCCTCAACGGCTAGGACATACCTCAAAAGCCTTCAGAAAAAAGGAAAAGTTACCCCATGCTTTGTAGATGGGAAGCTACATGTTGCTTCTTTGATTTCAGAAGCACAAAGAAGTGTGCTTTTAGAAAGGAGCTGAACTGACATATTACATGCTGTGGTTCATGTCGGTGATAGAATCATGGTCCTAAAGACAATTTCAAGACACGAGGTAATGGGGCGCCTGGGTGGCTCAGTTGTTAAGCATCTGCCTTCGGCTCAGGTCATGATCCCAGGGTGCTGGGATCGAGCCCCGCATCGGGCTCCCTGCTCAGCGAGGAGCCTGCTTCTCCCTCTCCCACTCCCCCTGCTTGTGTCCCCTCTCTTGCTGTGTCTCTCTCTAATAAATAAAATCTCAAAAAAAAAAAAGACATGAGGTAATGCTCACAGATGTTAAGGGAGAAAAGCCATTTGCACATTTTGGTTTGTGTGTGTGTGTTTATGTGTATTTCAGAGGGCTATTCAGTAACTGTTCATGGAGGCTCTTTTTTGGAGGAGAATTATGGGGTAGAATTTATTTTTTGAAAAAATTTCTGCACAGAAATTAACACATTTTGCTCTTGAAATGGGGAAAGCACCAGAAAATGTTATTTATTTTCACTTTTGGGGACGTGGAGAGAGATCTCTCAGACATTTGGGTTCATTGCCCTCCTTGGGCACATTGTCGTTTTTGGCTCAAGACGTTAACTTTAAAAAGAAATCCTCACTACTACTGCCGCTAGAGGGCACTCTTCTTAAATTTTAGACTGATGTTGAAGATTGGGAAAGGAAGTTTCAAGCTTTCTTATCAATCCAGTTGGAGGACTCTTGGGCCTGTTTGTTTGCTTGGTTTTAAATAACCTTTTTAAATTTTGTAATAATTTGAGATTTACAGAAAAGTTGCAAAAGTAGTACAGAAAGTTCCTGCGTGCCTTTGCCCAGTTTCCTGTAATGTTAACATCTTACACAAGAATGCTTTTGGCAAAACTGAGAAATTAACACTAGTACGTTACTATTAAGTACTACAGACTTTATTGGGATGTCACCAGTTTTTCCATTAATATTCTTTTTCTCTTCCAGTATGTCACACTGCATTTAATAATTTTTTTTTAACAAATACAGCCACTCACTGTGGTAACATCAGATTACAATTGCTATTTTGCATGAACATCTGTATTTTCTAAAGAAAGGTAAAAGCAACTTTTCTTTCATTTTTCTCTTTATTTCTGTTTCATTTGTAAAAGTTGTTTCACTTCTCAACCCCTACGTCCTCCCAACATTTCTGTCATTTGCAGTGTGTAGAATGATCATTTTAGTAATTTCATATCTTCTCCAATTAATCCTGTTTTTATTTTCAGTTCTGTGGGTTTCTTTTTTTCCAGTTTATGTCTCCCTCCCGCAGCAGGATGTCATTAAAAGATGAATACTATGGAATTATCACTAATTTTGTTGGGTCTAATAATGCACTGTTCTTAGGGGTTTTTTTTAATGCCCTTATTTATGAGAGGCGTGCTGAAATATTTACAGGTGAGATTATTTATTTTAAAATACTTAAACAAATAAAAAAAATTGGGGAGCTAGATCAAATAAAACAGGTGTGTCCATTAGATGTTCTTTTATTGGCGTATGGTTGAAAATCTACAATTAAAATGGAAATTTAAGGGGCGCCTGGCTGGCTCAGTCAATAGAGAATGCAACTCTTGATCTCAGAGTTGTGAGTTGGAGCCCCACATTGGGCATAGAGATTACTTTTTTAAAAAACACTGGACCTTTAATTTAAAAAATAATAATTTTTAAAATAATTTAAATTAAAAAAATTTTTTAAAGATTTTATATATTTGTCAGAGAGAGAGAGAGAGAGCACAAGCAGGGGGAGCGGCAGGCAGAGGGAGAAGCATGCTCCCCGCTGAGCAGGGAGCCCGATGCAGGGCTCGATCCCAGGACCCTGAGATCATGACCTGAGCTGAAGGCAGATGCTTAACGACTGAGCCACCCAGGCGCCCCTAAAATGTTTTTTTTTTTATGGAAATTTAAAAGAATTGAACAGTAGAGGCTTTGTTTTAATGTGACAACACCAAATCCTGTGGACTGTGTGGATCAGCAGCTATTCAACAGACGCTGAGAGATCAGTGTACCACACATCTGTAGATTCACAGCTGTATGTCAGAAACACACATCTCCAAACAACCGCGTGAGCTGCCAAACAAACAAGAGCAGCCCATCATGCACCCTTCAAGAACCTGAGTCAGACATATTTGAGCCTTGGGGTGGAACCACCCATGCAGTAAAGGCTAATTAAAAATGAATCTTGGCTGGTAGCAAATAACCTGTATTTTCAAGGGGATTTTATTTGCATCTCTCCTAGTTTTATGGGTTTGAGTTGACTCATCTCAGCCATGTGGTTAATAAATGGAAGATTTATTATTATGCCTGATAATAATAATAATTTCTGATAATAGTAATTTTAAAATATTGTATAGATTGTAATTTTTCCGAGGACCTGCAGCCTTTCCTAATTACCACAATTATCCTAGTGATCATTTAGCTAAATTGTAGCCACCAGTAGCTGCTGCCTTTCTGCTTGCTGAAGTCAGCTTCTCCTCTGGCCCCAGATCACTGAAGGGCCCTACCACCTCGCTCACTGGGCTGGCGCTGAGCTCTGCTCCGCTCTGCTCTGTGATGCCGGCAAAATCTAGCCAACACTTGTTTCCATCTCTCTTTTTATTCTGCAGCAGAAGTATTGGGAAGCCCTAAACTCGGAGCAGGTATGGACAATCATACTCTCTCTATTCCAGAAGGAACGTCCCTGTGGCTTGATTCCATTTGCTGTTTTTGTGAGCCCTCCTTGGATGGCCGGGCCCATGCTACGTTCCTTTCGGTAAAAAAAAAAAAAAAAAAAAAAATGAAAACGAGAGGGGAGTCGGAGGCTCAGGGGATTTTCCAGCCTCTCTCAGTTCAGAGTTCTTTCTGCTCTGCCCAGCCATCTGGTAGGGACTCAGAAGATGTGTAACCCAAGGAGAAGCATGGTTTGGAACAAAAGCCCAGGGACAAGCCGAGTAGCTGCAGGTTAGCGGTCGTAGTGGTGCTGGGGGTGGCTGCATCCCCCCACACTGTCATTCTGGGACCCTAGGCCGCTGGCGCTGTCTCCATGCCTCCCTGGCCTGCAGGGGAGAGCTGAGCTTGCTTTATGCCAACCACCTGTGCCTGTCATCTCCCAGGATTCCTCCTGGTAAGAGTGGAGATCATCCTTTGCTCAGATTTTCTTTATGCCCGGATTCCAGCAATGTTTTTATTGCTTAAGATGAGGCTTCAAAACGCAGTACTCTGGGGATTCAGAAGGAAGACATTTAAAATGTTTTCATAAGCTTAACCCACTTCAAAGAGTGCACTCGATCGAAGAGGCTGGCTGTTTGGCGGCAGCTGAGTTGGTCAGGAGTAGCAAGAACCAACTCTTAAGCGCTTTCGGGAGCTGGAGCGGTGATTCTGAAATATTGCAGCGGCTAGAAATCACCCTAGGCGCTTGTTAAAATGTCAAACCTTAGGTCCCAAGCCAGAGAGGGTCGAGGGCGGGTGCCCGGCATCCGTCTTTTTTAACGAACACCTTGGGCACTTCAGGTGAGGTTGATCCACAGCCCACTCTGAGAGCTGTGATCTGGAACATGGGCCTCGGCCTGAAATCGGCATTCATCGAAAAGCATACTATCCATCCTCAAAAAATGGAACACGCCCCTACTTCCGCTACTGGGCACCTGGGCCATGGAGGCTGAAGGGCTGGGGAGCTCTTTGACTGGGGCTTTGCTTGTTATCTGCCCCCCCAAGTCTGCAACCACACGTAGATAAGTTAGTATTGGAAGGGGCTGCCACAGCCCCAGACAGGTGCGGGAGCCAAGCTGCACCAACCGGATCAGCTTAGTACCTGGCCTGCGGGGTTACTGGGGAGGGGGTGGCATTTTTAACATGACGCTCTTTTTAGTCACCAAGTAGTAAAACTCCGTTATGGGTAAATCACTAATTGAATTGGGCTCTTCCTTTCTATTCAAAACAAAGCCACATTTTGTATTTTATAACTGGCATGGTGTGGGCATTTCTCTCAGTGGCTCAGGGAGCCCTGCAGACCTCATCTGAGACCCCTAAGACTGGACTGTTGGATTGAGCTTAAGTCTGAGCTGCCGGCAGCGTGTTTTTGTTGGGAGTTCGTACCACGACTGCCTGTCTCCCTGCCCAGATAGGTCATCTGGCCCAGGTGGACACGTCTTTTCCTGTGCTTTTTCCTGGGTCTCTTGCTATTGTCAAATGTGACCTTGTCACCCGAGTTATCAGTCACAGAAACTCAGAATTTAAAGAGGTCATATTTAGTGTTGATCCAACACCCTAGCTTACCCCTGGAGAAACTGAGGCCCAAAGAAGAGAAAGCAAGTTAGCGGCAGAAGGAGGACTTGAGTCCAAGCCCCACTTGCCTCCGTGGCTGGACTCACCAAGAAGTCCCCGCTCTTGGCCATGTGCAAAGTTCTCTCTCTCATTGGTCACATGAAGAACAATAGGAGGGCTTCGCAAACCGTGTCATCAATGCATATGTGACTGCTTCTCTTTTTTCAACCTTTTACACCTAACCTTTCCCATACTTGTGTGAGTCAGAATAATAAAATATTCACCGCAGTGACCACCATTCTCAATTAAGTTTTAACTGCTTGTTTTGGACAAGCCTGCTGTGCCTCGAGTTTAGAGGAAATGGCATGGTGGGGAGGAGGGGCAGGCCGGTGCCCTGCTCTTAAGGAGCTCATCGTCTACCTGAAAGGACCAGGTGGTGCCCATGCTTAGCTACAAATGAACGGTATGGGCAGAACAAAGAAAGAGGGGTGTGAGAGCTCAGTGGGTGAAAGCAGTCAGAGTAGGCTTCCTGGAAGAGGAGGTACTTACCTGGGCCATAAAGAATGGGTTGAATTTGCCTGGTCTATTCCAGGAATGACTTAGGCATGGAAGTGGGCATTCTCGGGATAAAATGACTCGTTCTCACTAGAGTAAAGATGGAAAAGGGGGGTGGGAAGTGGGGCTGGTCCATTCCAGGTGGTTGTCCATTAACTCCTTGCTCTAAAGTTAAACGTGTCCCATGAGGTCCTAGAAATGCAGGCCTGATTAACCTGCCCTTACTGTTTCTCCTGGTCTGTGCCTGGGTCATGAGAACCAGGACTGGAAGCTGTTGTTAGCGGGGGGGGGGGGGGGGGGGGGCGGCGGCGGCGGCGGTGGCTTTGTAAGAGGTGAGAAGCATCTGTTCCATCCAGGTACCATTTGTGTCTTTTCTCCACAGTGGGACCCTGAAGACGTAAACCTTGAAGGGAACAAAGACAACATGGAGATGCTCAGATCCCAGGTGCATAGGAGCTCCATGGGCCCAGTGGCCCTGATATCTGATGAGGAACACCTCAGAGCCCCCAGTCAAGCGTTTGTCAGGAACTGAGCAGGGATCATCCTGCAGTGACACCCATGGCAGGAATCACAGCTTCCGCAGAGGCGGCGCATGAAAGTGAGGAACCAGGTGCTGTCACTGAGCTTGGCTGCTCTGCATCGTGGCTCAGAATGGAGCGAAGACTCAGTCCCGTAGACAGACCTGGACATGCACAGTTTGTTCTGATCAGAAGTTCCCAGACCACTCTCGCTTTGAAGTAGAAAACTTCATCTAAAGGACATTGGGCCCTCTCTTCCTTTTCCCTTCAGATTCAACCATACCCTGAATATCTGCTAGGTGCCAGGAAGGAGTTCATCTAACAAGTAGCTCATGTGTTTGGGTCTCCATAGAGCCCCATTCTGCAAGACCTGGCTAAGCCCAGGAGATGAGACCGGTGGGCCCATATGCCGGAGATATAGGACATGGCCACTGGTACTCATGGGACCTGGCTCCTGTCCTCCCAGTCAGCCACTTGAGTTTTCTGCTAGAAGTTGAAGGTGGGACTGCTTGGTCAACCAGAAGTTTGTGAGATCACAGGTGTGGAAAGGGCAAGAAAAGTTAATTGCTCTAGGTACCAGGACTTGCTCCAACCCGCCAGGGTATGTGCTGGGCAGGGTTTGCAGGTGAGGGGGACGGTCTGCTTCAGGAGCTAACATGAAAGCAGGCAGAGGGTAAGAGGCACCGTGGGAGGTGTTAAATTCAAGCACAGCCATCTCATTTTAGGATTATTTTGATACTGTGATCACGGGAAAGGGGAAGGGTGGAGGGACACTGGAGTGAATAAATCATGATCGAGTTGAAGCATCTCACTGTGGAGCACAGAGATGTCTGAATCCCAGCACAGCCACCAAAGCCAGCCATGAGGGCAACTGAGAGACAGGAAACATGGCTCTGCTCCTGGCTGGCCCCTTGGAGCCTATGTGACTCAGTTGCAATTGCCGTTTCTCCAAAGGGGTAGTGCAAATGCCAGCAGCATGAAGAAGGGGGTGCCTCAGGGAAGTAGATGGGTTCCACAGATCTCTGTGGAGATCTTAATCTTTTGAGTGGCCTCTGAGCTAGAAGGGACCTTAAAGCCACCCTATTTATCCGCTTTATCCAACTGCTTTGATCCCTGGGTGTCTTGTAATGGAGTTTGCTAAAGCCAGTTTTTTGTTTTTTGTTTTTTTAAGATTTTATTTATTTGACAGACAGAGACACAGTGGGAGAGGGAGAAGCAGGCTTTCCGTGGAGCACCTGATGCCGGGCTCGATCCCAGGACCCTGGGACCATGACCTGAGCCAAAGGGAGACACTTAATGACTGAGCCACCCAGGCGCCCCAAGCCAGTTTTGCTTGGTGATCTTAACCACGGAAGCTGTTCTTAGAAGATAAAGATTTGAGTGGGGGATGGGGTAGAGAGCACATTCCAGAAGAAATCATACAGAGGATTGGACACAGGGAAGGATGGAATCCAGTCCAGGAAGGAGGACTCTGATGTGGCCGGGATGGATGGTGCAGTCTGGGCTAGATGGTAAAGAGGCTGGCAAGGCATCAGACCGTGGAGGCAAGGGAGTTGGCACTTAGTACTTGGTAGCCATGACCGATACCAGAGTAGGAAGGTGACTGACATGCCTCTGGTAGGCCACGGCTTTTCAGGACGCAGAAATGTAGTCATGCGCACAGTATGAATATGGAGAACATATTTAATTGGAGTGATAACAGCAGAGCAGAAGGAGGGCTCATCTTTAGAAAGGCAAGGCGTGAGGATAGGATACCATCTCTGGAGTTTACCTTTTGCATATCCTCCCTTCCTCAAAGGGAAGCTGGCCCTCGGTCCCGGGGGCACCAGAAATTGGCTGGGTCTTGATGGAAATGGCCATTGACCCAAGAACATGGAACAGTCTCACTGATTTGAGCAGCACAAACTACTTGAGTCCCAGAGGTTGTCTGTCTCCCTAGTTCCCATTGTCCCAGCCTTCCTTCACAAACCAGTTCCCCATGTTGTGGTCCAGTCTTGTCCAAAGCTGAATCCCAAGTCTCTTCAGCCAGAGTGAACTATTAAACTGAAAATTTTGGAAGCCAACTCTGGCCTCCTTGTTCAATAAGAATCTGCCTGTTATGCAAAGCTCTGGAACCCTGGAGCCTTTGTAAAGAGGTGCCAATCAAAATGCCTTTTTCCTAGTTGGAGAGTCCCTGCCCTGGGCCTCCACTGCAGCTTCAGCCCTGTCAGACCAGGAGGATAATGGGAGTTACTTGCCCTGAAGACTCACAGTGAAGGGGGTTACCTATAAGGGGGAGAGGCTGGGAAACAAACTGTAATCATCTGCCCACTCATCTGGATGTGAGTGACGGTATACTAGGGCCTCAGTTGTGCGGCCTATTATCTCCATGGCTTGGAGCATGTTACCTAACCTTTGTGAACTGAGGTAAACAGAATCCCTATCTACAGAGCTTGTTGTGAAGACTAAGTAAATCAACATCCATGAACCGCGTAACACACAACGCCTGACTCAAAGTAGACCTTGAAAGGGATTTAGTTTCCTTTCTCCCTATACTTGCTGGCCACTTATGTGCTGAAAGGCTGTTAGTAACCAAAAATATCAGACCCACAAATAGAACGGTCTTCAGAGGTTTGAATCCCCTCGACAATCCTTATAAATGATTATCTAGCCCCCACTGAAGCTCCTCCAAAAAAAAAAAAAAAAAAAAGATTTCACTATTTTGTATTCCAAAGTCTGTATCCTTTAGGGAGAGTTCCGATCACTAAGACTTTCTTAAAATCCTGTCCTAGATCCAGAAGAACCACGATCTCCGCATCTCCTGCCAGCACTTCAGTATGCTGAAGAGATCTGTGAGCAACACCTGATGCCACACTCACATCATGTTTGTTACCATGGGGTATAAGCTCCAGCAGAGTAAGGAGAGGTACTCAGCCAAGGCACGTGGCTGGGCTCTAGCTCCCAGATCTGATTCAGTGTGATCCTTGTCAAGTCATTTTCCTTTCTGGGTCACAGTTTCCTCATCTGCAAAATGAAAGTTAGGCCAGATTTCTTTCTTCCCTTTTATGAATGTGCCACTGAATTTGTTTTCCAGAGAAGACGGACATCTTTACAAACCCTATTAAGACATTTCAGATTTACTTTGAAAGTAGGATTCAATGTGTACTATATACTTCTGTTTGGATTTTGCTATCCAATTAAGATAAAAATTTGTCTTTGTAACATGAAGGGATCATAGCATTTGACCTTTAAAAATTTTGCAGATTCCTTCCAGTACGGAAAAACCGAAAACTATACACCACCTTCTTTCCACACTTGGGCATTCTGGTGAATTCATTTAGTTTTTTTATTAAGAGGCTCTATTATTGATTGGCAGTTTATTTTGGTCAAGTCTCATTCTTGCTAAACCATCTCTTATATTGAAGGATACATGAAAAATGTTGTCCACACTGGGAAAAAAAGGATCTGTATCGACTGAGGAAATGATAGAGATGTCTTAGGAGTGTCTCAAGACTGACTTCAGAATACTTTCAAGATTGTCTCCACTTCTTTTTCTGCGCCTACTTGATCATTCTCCAACTATGCGGGCATGCTCTACTCTCTCCGACTTTACATTGCTTTTTTTCCCCCAACGTTCAGGTCGATGCTTTGGCAGAGAAGGCTCTGCCTTGAAATAAGCCAAGATACAGCACAATGCTGACAAAGATCTCTTCAAGTTTACACATCCTATCTGGTATTAATCCAAAGGTCACCATCAGGTGAGAGGGGCGTTCTTAAACAAGAAAGAAGTTCAAGAAATGGTGCTAAATCGAATGATTTGGAGAACATCTGCTTTGCTTTTTCCTTACCAAACTCAGAAAGCTAAACAAGGCACCAGGCATCCTGGACTGCTGCTTCTGGGTTGGACACTTCAACAGCGCGTTAACTTTTAAGTGCCTTCAGATTCACTTCAAACTAAGCTGTTGCTTGGAGCATGCATCATACTCTCCCGATTCCGCCGGAAATTTTCCACCAGCAGCCGGCACTGGCGGCAGAAGGCCCTGCTCTTCTCTCCCGGGGTCCTCAGGGTCTGCAGCTGCGATTGCAGCAGGGCCTAGTCCCTGTGGGGGTCAGGGGCTCTTGCCCCTCTTGAAGCCCTGCTGCTGGCCCGATCAGAACTGAATCCGGCCGACCTCGTTCCCGAGAAGCTGCCGAGCCCCGCAGTCCCGCGGTCCGCTCAAACCGCCGCTGGGGCACTTCCGGAAGGACGGCACCGCGCGGCTCGGCGCGTGCGCACTGCGCAACCCCCGCCTCCCGCGAGTCCCGCCGCGCGCGGGTTCCCGCCTCGCCGCGGCCGCGCCCGGGGATCGCCGGGTCGCCGGGGTCAGGAGAGCGGCCGAGCCGGGGCTGCCGGTGTGTCGCTCGCCCCGCTGGTGTGTTAAGGGGATCGTGCTGAGATGATGTTACCTTGCCTAATGTAGTTAGACCACTTGACGTCCTCTATGGTGTACTGTAAATCACTCTCGTCTTTGCTTTTAAATATTTTTTAAATAAAGATAGGGTAATGGTGGGCGCCTGGGTGGCTCAGTTGGTTAAGCGACTGCCTTCGGCTCAGGTCATGATCCTGGAGTCCCGGGATCGAGTCCCACATCGGGCTCCCTGCTCGGCAGGGAGTCTGCTTCTCCCTCTGACCCTCTTCCCTCTCGTGCTCTCTCTCTATCTCATTCTCTCTCTCAAATAAATAAATAAAATCTATTAAAAAAATTTTTTTTAAAAAGGGTAATGGTTTGTTTTTTTTTTTAAGAATCAGGTTGTAGCAAAACGTTTATGAAGAAAAACAACAGTGCCCTGCTCCTCCCCTCCGCCCTCAACAGCCCTGCTTCTCAAGCAACCATCATTTTTCTCTCTCTTCTTTTCCCTTACCTCCTCTCTCTCTCTCTCTCTCCCTCCCTCCCTCCCTCTCCCCCTCCCCCCTTCCTTCCTCTTTCTACCAGTCTTGCTTGTTCTAGTAGTTTTCTCACTAGGTTTGATTTCAAACATGCTTTTTGGCTCTCGAGTTCCAGGAGGATACTTTTTTCTCTTAGCTGGACTGTCTCCAGCTTCCCCGATGAGCGGGCTAATGAGGCGGAGCAGCTCCACCTGTGTGTTGAGAACTGTGTATTAAGAACTGTCTTCACATCCTGCAGGTTGCTGTGGGATCCTCCAGTGCCGGAGCCCCGTGGGTTCCTCGGTGACTCCTAAACTAGCTTCCAGCTTCTGAATCCAGCCTGGTCCAATTCACATATTCCTTCAAGGCAGCCTGGCAAGTTCCACTCCTCTACTCTGGACTTGACCTTACCCTTCATCCTGTTAACCTCTTTTTTTTTTTTTTAGTTTTTTTATTTATTTGTTTGACAGCACAAGCACAAGCAGGCAGAGCAGCAGGCAGAGGGAGAGGGAGAAGCAGACTCCCCGCCGAGCAGGGAGCTGATGTGGGGCTCGATCCCAGGGCCCTGGGGTCATGACCTGAGCTGAAGTCAGACGCTTAACTGAGTGAGCCACCCAGGCGCCCCTGTTAACCTTTCTTCCTGCAGGTGTCTTAGTACTTGGAGCATCTCCAGTGCAAGTTTGAGGGATTTGGGACACCCACAACGGGACAAAGGGCCCTCATCCACTGCAGCCATCTTAGCCTTTACCAGAGATAGCCTGGCCATAAAAGAGCTATTCCATAGGCCTTTCCTTCTGACTAGTAATTGCACTTTGTGAATATGTCTATCCCAAAGCTCTGATTTGTGTGATACCTGTTCAAATGTAGGCTCTTGGGCTCGACCCCTCGGTGATTTCCTAGATCTGGGCAAGGCCTTGCCATCTTTACCAAGCTCCTCAAGTGATTGATTCTGTTACAGATGATCCA